GAGCACGTGCTCTCTGAGGCCCCATTCTAAGGTGAGTCACTTGCAGGCATCACATTTGGGGTGCCGCGGCTCAGGCCCCAGCCCCCATGCTCCCCTAGCTTCTGATGGAGCACAAGAAGTGAAGCCGAGGCTGCCGATCTGGGAGAGAGTCATCTTTTGATTTTGGTTGGTTGGTTGGTTGGTTGATCGATTTACTTATATATTTATGCTTGCTTCCGCATCTGCTTTCAAGGGTCCACTGTGTCCGATACACACAGGAGTTCCTAAGCCTGCCCACAAAGAACTGACCCATTACCTCTTATCACACGTTCAGAAGGGAGAGAGCAACGATGCAGGTTAAGTTTTGCAAAGAGAGAAAAATAGTGCCACATGCCCTATGAAAGAGTGTGGCAGATTTGTACAGAAGTTTAAAGGGCAGTTTCACATAGCACAAACATAATACTACACAAAATAGAAAAACATTTACTTAACATCAACTAAATGAACATATTTGCTTAATATTAGAAGCATTTTCCCAGAACCACCCTTGTTTTATAGAGGAAGTTCCTGAGACTCAAGGGTCTTAACTTGCCCGTAGCTTCCAAAAGATTCCAATCAGAGTCTGAACCTGTGTTCGATCCCTGTGTTCCTTCAAAGCCTGCTCCTTTCTTCCGAACTCTACCTTCCCCAAACAGAAGGGAGTCAGGCCTTCTCCATCTAGTCCTCATTTCTAATTATGCGATAAAATGCCTTCACCCATTTATCCCCAACATCTTCCCCTGCTCCAAATTTTTGGTGAAATCATAATTTCATGATGATATCTCTCTCTTCTTCACAACTCTTTCCCCAAATTGTAACTGATGTTTGTGAAAGGAAGGAGGTAAGGGAAATCAGAAAATTCATATTATTTCATGACCACAGCAAGTAACTTTTTATAACTGTTTTGTAAATTTATTTGAAAGGCAGAGGGAGAGGGAGAGCCAGATCTTGCATCTGCTGGTTCATTCTCCAACTGCCTGCAACAGCCAGGGCTGAGCCAGACTGAAGCTTGAAGCTTGGAACTCCATCTTGATATCCCATCTGGGTGGCAAGGATCCAACTATTTGAGCCATCGTCTGTTACATGCACATTAGCCAGAAGCTGGGACGGAAGTGGAGCTGACACTCAAACCCAGGTATCTCAGTGTGGAATGTGGGCATCCCAAGCGGTGCCTAACACCTGCCCCATTCATTAGTGTTCTTAAGCACTTAATATGTGCTCTGTATTCTGCTAGGAATAAGAGGAATGCCAATCAGGAATCCTACCCTGATAAAATTACAGCAAAAAAATAACAATGTAACAACTGGAGAAGAAAATAATGCATGACAGACTGTCAGAGTAGAGATTTAGATAGGCCAGAGCAGTGTTTGGAAAGGCTCTATGCAGTGAGGGGTCCTGGATCCCCAAACCAGCCCAAGGTCCTATTTAGGGGACGGAAGAAGACGTGACTCAAGGAGTGAAGGCTGGCACCAGGGAGACTCAATTTCTCCTGTGTTACGTGCTTTACGTGTAAAGCCCAAAAGGTGACACCGGCTACTCTGTGGGCTAAAAGCAACCGCATGAGTCACTGCTGGGATGTCAAAGGGATTTCTCAGTCAGGAAACAGTCTCTGTCTTGGTGTTTATGATCAACAACATAGGCAGACAGAAGTCTGACGAGCACACAAGCCAGCACAGAGAGCCCCAGGCTCTCTAGATACAGACCCGTGCCCTACTCACTGTGAGGGCCCCTGGCAGCCTCAGATCTTTCAGCTCTACAGGGAAGCAGGTGGCTCCTTGACTGACGCCCCTGCTCTTGGCTCAGCATTTCACTTGAGGTATGGGACAGGCCAACATCGATCCTAAACCCAGTGTGCAGTATCTTTTAAAAATAATTTTTTGGATGGATTCGGCATTTCTAGATAAAAACATTGGAAAAAATCTTGATCCAGGTTAGTTTCATAATTCCCATTAGACCGTTTATGACATACAGTTTGAACTTCAAATTGACATTCGGCACTAGAGAAGAGGTGGTTTTCACGATTTAGTGGGAAACAGAAAAGATGGGAGTTATCTCTTGTTGGACAAACATGTAAACTTGAGTGCATATTAGTTCCCGGAGTAGTTTTTGGCTTCAATTTTCACACGAATATAATGCTTAAGAGGAGGGAGGAATGAGCTCTATACTTCCTTTACAGTTCTGAGACTCAGGGAATCTAATCTCTACATATTCCTGAAACAGAAAACAATATGAAAAGGCATGAAGTCTACTCTCAAGGAGTATTCAAGTCCCCGAGCATTCTGAACGACAAGTAAAGCGACATCAGCCTGTTCCTTGGAGCTCTCACCATTATGTCTTTCCCTGCAGCTGGGAACAATGAAAAGACTTGAGAGTATTTCTAGCAGGTTATTTTAACAGTGTTTGTCTTCCAGAAGTATCATCAAGACATTTTTGCCCTAAAAAACAAAAATCACCGAATGTTTCTGCAACCAAATATTCGTAGTGTTGGGAGACAGAGAGGAAAAGAGAATCACTGAACCACATGACATGGATTTTAAGTCCCTTACTCCTTAGGTGACTTTTGATCACTTAAGGACTCACAAGCCTCACTCGTTTAAAAAGAGAAAGAGGGAAAAGAGAGCCTTCCATGTCTGGTTCACAGGTTTGCCTGAGGGAGACAGGAGATGGCATAAAAGTGCTTCATAAAACTTAATGTCTTCTACAAATGAAAGGAATCACATTTTTTACTGTGAACCATTGTTCTTGGGATTGGAGGAAGCTGAATCTATGAGCACGGTAACGACCTAAACATGTGTTGTAAACCGAAGTCTAGAAGTTAATGCCTTTAGCAAAGGAAGAACTATCTTCATTATTATTGAGAGGACAGAGAATGCAAGGCTAACAGTCAAAAGGAAACTCATCAGAGACAGCTCCACCCTATGCAGATAGATGATTAAGCCTTGTGATAACACGGGGCGCCAGGCAACTGGAGTACCTCCTACTTTGAAGCAAGATAGGTGATGGTGGCATAACTCACCCTTTCCTTAGTATCGGGTACAGCTGCCACCAAGAGCACCACCCATGCCTAGGTGATAGATAGCCTTGCCCATGTGGGTCACTATCTCACCTTCCCGTGAAGAGCAGTCCTAGGGCAGAGACCTGAACGCCACGGCGAAATTTCTGCCTCAGGACTTAGGCTGGTCTGGGAGATCTACCTGTGAGTGAGAGCTGAACTTCAATTCTCTTCCAGGCCAGAGCAAACTTTTCCACCGAGAAGGGAAGGCCGCTCTTACCAGGGTGGTGATAATCACGACAAGTAGCATGAAGAGTCCCCAGTGAATACCTTTAATCGGGCTGCGTTCCTCTTGACTTTCTGCACGTCCTGCAGGGCAGAAATTTTCCTGAAAATCCTGAAGTTCACGTGTTTACAATTACAGGCAATGAGCCTCAAAAGAGCCAGCCTCATGGATCACTTGCGTTTTATTTTTGGTTTTGTTTTCATTAGATGCAGCACTGAGCCGAGCCACAGGCCTTCCAGGGAGTTGCACAACCTTAGCTTTTAGATTGTGTTTCATGGTCACGGAAAAAAAAAATAATTGGATTTAATAGGTTTTCACAATCATATTATCTACTTTACCTTCCAAGATCGTTACTCATTTAATTGCAAGCCCCAAGGAAAGATCACAGGGTAGGGGCCACACTAGACAGTCATAATAAAGAAAGATCCCTCACAAGCAATGTAACAATCTGGATCTGCTATCAAGTCATTTAAGTGTTCTGATATAAACTCTTTAGATTGGAAATTATTGTGCTCTTTTGATAATTGTTCCCCTTAGAAAACAGACACGTGCATGTTGTAAGTAATGTTCTGTGTTAACACATAAATATATTTTATGTGATATGCATATATCTGCTTACAAATATTATACAGGTCTAAAGAGACAAAATGTAAGTCACAAGCTGTGAGTGGATAGGCTTTGCTCTGTGGTAGTGGTATGTAGCTTTGTGCAAATGGGCTCTTCCCTTGTTGAAGAGTAACCACAACTGGGGAGTGCAGTGTCCTATGAGAACATTTTTGCCCCCATATCGGCGAGGGCAGCAGCCAGGGCACATCACGTATTTGGGATAAGGGTGCTATATGGTCCTGTAGGGAACAAATTCTTTGCTTAGCTCTTAGAGTACCACAACTGGTCATTCAGGTTGTAAGAACCTTTAATTAGCTGTTCTACAAATTAGAGCACTCCTCAAGCTCCAAAAGATGTTTTCCATCTTGTCACCATCTAAAGGAAAGTCTTGAACGAAAGAGTTACTCTCAATCTGGTTCTTATTCTCTCATTTACTTCTATGGGATTAAAGAAAAACAAAAGCACTTTTTAAACTCCCTATACAGAGTGTACTGTAATTGGATTCCTTGTTCCTGTTCCAAGCCAAGGCATTGGAGCCACATTGCTTCTGCCAAGTTTGTTCTCTGAGCTTCAGCGTCCTTGTTTCTGCTCACTCCCAGGGTTCCAGGTTACACTGTCAACCCAGGCTCAAACTGTCCCACGTCCTTCCCCAGAGGTCTTCTTGTTGAGAAAGGTTCAACAAGAGGATGAAGTCCAATGCACTCACAATGCAATTGAAATGCCACCCTATGGAGACTAGGGGCGAGTGGTGGGCAGACAGCAGAGCTTCCAGTTGACCATGAGGATGGCTGACGGAGGCCAACCACCGTCTTCCCAGGCTCCCTCTAGTCCTGAGAACTAGGGTTGAGAAGGACTTCCCCATCTAGATCTGGCAACCTTCCCTGCCTCTGAGGTCTGCTAAGAACCTGACAAGCAACGCCAGTCACAGGCCTGCAGTGACTTTGTACAATAGGCCAACAAAGGAAAAGAAAAAAACTGTCTCTTTGGAAACCCAGTGTGAACCTTTAGTCTATAAGTTGTAGAATAAAGAAGTCTAGGCTCCCTATCAACCATTTCTTTTAGAAGCCTGTAATTTTTTTTTTTTTTTGCACACTGTTAAAAATCCATTTTCCACTAGATAATCCCTTAACAGGGTAGCCAGAACAAAAAAGATGTGGTGAAATTATTATTCTAATTATCAAGAGGATATTTTCAGTGAAACAACTTCTTTATGAACACATAATAAGGTGGGTGTTTGGTTACTTGGTTGATACAACTGGAAGAGCAACCAGAACATTCCACATACTCTGTGTCAATGGACACTCCAAGGGTACAAGACACTCCCAGTTTGTTCCAATCATCATCTTCTCCTGTTCATCTTCTCCCTCCCACCGCTGGCCAATAATCCTTGTATAGTTCACTTTCTTAGTCTCTTTCCCTAGAGGAATCCACCCTTCTCAGTGGGTCTCCTGGAGCCTCATTCCAAGAATCTGTCCTATTCCTAAACTTGCTGTGTTAGTATCTGCGCATTCTGTGTCCAACAACAGGCCCACGACTAAAAGACCTCATCAGGATTATCTGTTCCTGGGGATAACACAGAGCAGGGTCAGCAGGTACACCCCACCCTACAGATCTAAGAACATCAGGGGCTTCGAGAACCACTCCACCCACCCATGACCTCTACAGGAGGGAGACAGCCTGCTTCTCTGTACACATCACCCACAACCCACATCCACATGAAATGTTCTGGACTTATTTGCTTCAGTGCCTGCAGCAAGCACCTAAGCGGGTTGGAAACAGATGTTTAATAACATTGGCATTTATTTAAGAAAATCTATTGAGAGCCTCCTCTGTAAAGTGTTGTGCTAGGTGCTAAGGATATAAAGATGAAAAGACAGGTAGACCAAAGGTAGGTGTTAACAATAGTCATTAAGACCATACTAGTTCCTTTGTTCTGACTCCATGATCATTATTAAGTGTTCGTTTTATATAGCCTTTAAAACACTTTGACATCCTGATCTCATTTGATCTTCCTGTTGGATAAGGATTGTTCATTTTATAGATGAAGAGACTGAGGCCTAGAGGCGCTGAGTGATTTCATCCTAAGACCCAGAGCAAGTAAGTGGTAGAATCAAGAGTCAAACCAGTAACTTTTGATTACAAATCTACTGCTTGCTCCATACATCACGCAGCCTCTTGAGGGTCAAGGAGGAAGTATTTTTTCCAAAACATCTTCTAGTGGTAACATAACAAACAAATCCTGAACACCTCCTGTATGCAAAACCTGCCCTGATCTCCTGGGAGAAGATGCAGCAGCTCAAAGATGAATGGAATGTTGTCCCTACTCAAAAGAGTTTAGTGAGGGGGAGAAAAGTCACTGGACGGGAACAACAAATTCAAGGAAGCTAATAGGTGGGGGGAAAGGGAAAGAAAAAGTCTCATATGGGGGGTTGGAGCCTAAAGAATCCAGATTGAACTTTGGGATTACACTTGGGACATTCTATCTTTGTATCGCATCCCCATTACTCGCAGGCCAAGGAACAGGGAGTAAATAAACGTGGTTTTCCATGCAGACTTTTCTACACTAGACCAAGTGTGCTGGCCAGCTAATACCAGTGCTCTCTCAAGAATCATCTCCTAATAAGTTGGAAGAGTATTTTAACAACCAAAAGAGGTCCTTCGCAACTTGATAACTGCGCACAAGTCCTCAAGAACCGGAAAACTTTCAGAGAATTGATAACATTGTTTTTTCTTGACCCAATAGGGCAATTTTACATAAAAATGGTCATCTCTGCTCTCTTTTTGACATCTATTTGGCTTTGATATTTCATAGTGGGAAGCAGGACCAATTGAAGTCACCACCATCTCTTTGGGAGGATCTGGAAAAATTCCTCAAGAATTGGTATTGGCCGTGCTGAATGGCTGAGAAAGTGCCACTCGCAGCCTGTTGCAACAACTCAGGCAATAAAAGAGGCTCTGGGTCAAGTCCAGTGCTCCTTAACACAGTAATATCAGAATAATTTGTGGGGGTGGATGTTTGGCCTAGCAGTTAAACAGTCATCTGGGACACATGTGTCCCACACTGGACTTACTGGGTTCAGTTCCTGGCTTCTGACCCTAGCATCTTGCTAATGCAGACCCCAGGAGGCAGCAGTGAGGGCTAAAGTGGTTGGACTCCTGACACCTATCTAGGAGACTGGGGTTAGGTTCCCAAATCTGGGCATTTGGGGGATGAACCAGCAGATGAAAACTCACTTTCCTCCTCTCTGTATCTAAATAAATAAAATTGTAAAAATAATAATTTAACTAGGAAATTTTAAAAAATAAAAGAGTAGCCCCTGTGAAAGGAGGAAGTTCAAAATATTTTCCCCTTCTATGCAGCTAAATTGTGCTGCCTTGGCAGAAAACCCGTGCTTTCTTCATGTGGGAGTATTGTTGCTGCTAAGACTCAGCCATGCTGTTCTGTTCGTTGCTTCAAAGATCACCCCATGGATCCCACTCATTTTCTGACCCCTGCAGGTGAGAAGTGCATTAAGCATCTGGCACAAGCTCACAGGAAGGGTGGCACAAAGCACAAGTCAGAAGCTCCACTTTCTGAAAAGGGGCAACTCTAGATCCTGGGAGTTTTGAGGGAGGAAAAAAATGGGAAGGGGAAGACAGGGGAGGAGATAGGTGACCCCCACTTTCCAGACTTCTCACTCTTGTATAATAAAAAGATCGGGAAATTCCCGATTCTCCTGTGGTACCCTACTCTGTGAGTTACAGTTGATTTTTGAGTAAAGAATTGTGCTCCTCAGCTTCTCTGTCCCAGAGACCTAAAAAGAGCCAACTCCCTTTGGGAATCATAAGGGCTATCATCACTGGTTATTAGCAGCCTGTAATTTGTTTGTAGGCTAACAAGAATTCATCTAACACACTTGTTTTACTGAAATTAATGATAATTACCTTTTGTTGCTTACAACCAAAGACTGCTATTACTCCCTGCCCAAACTTTCCGTTCCCAATCTTTCTAACATTGTATTTCTAAACCTACCTAGATCAGCATCTATATTCTTCTTACCTTTTTCCTACGGCTAAAGAAGCATCCCTTCAACCAAGAGCCAACCCCTTCAGTGCGTTCTAGGCCGCACTCTCTTCCACATTTTTAGGGACCCTAGTCTTTGGGTAATCAGCCCTCTTTCACTCTACTTCATTTCATAGCCACTCTTCTGTAGGGAGCTGCCTGAACATGCTGTTCTCATTTCTTTCTCAAATGCACTCTTGTCTGGCTTCTGCCCTCGACACACACCACTGACACTGAAGCTGCCCTTACCAGGTCACTACTGACTTCCATGCTGCCAGGCCCATGGCTATTTCCCGTGCTTTTCTTATTAGACTTTTTGGGAATATTGGCCTAGTTGGCAACCCCCTTGTCGAAGGCTCTTCTTGATGCACCTACAGACTGCTGTTGCTGAGAGCAGGGTAAAAGAGCAGCTGTGTGGGTGTTATGGGAGCTCAGGAGCTAGTAGGCTCAAGGGGGAAAGGGGAAAAGCTCAATCCATTCTTAGGAAGGACATGTGACCTGCTTAAATAATTCAGATTTTCTCGCCCCCAGAATGCAAATCTTTCACTGACATCTCGGCATTTAAAGTAAAATCCACTTATATTACAATGTTTAAGGGAAACCATCAGTAATCTAGTGCTATTGATATCCTCAGCATCAAAAATATTCTCTTGATTTGACCAATGTCCTATGTTTTCATTTCAAAATGTGAACAGCTGCTTAAGAGTGAGTTACTCCTTTTATAGTTATGTAAACTTACAGTAATACTTAACATAGTAAGTATGGGACAAGAATCTTATCAGCCATTGAGTCAAGTGAACATCGTTTGAGAAAGCAGAAGGCCATGGCCACCTGGGAGCCCGCTGGTCTTTCAAACAAACAAAATTTAACCACCTCTAGTAGCCAGTTGTATTATTCCCACAATACAATTAGCATCCTTCTCTTTTTCAATCATATCCTCACTCACAGTCAACAAGAGATGAGATATTGCTTAGTCACACAGTGTAGAACAGACCTCGAGAGTCCAGAGTTTCACCCACATCCACCAAGATGAGGTCCATGTCCGTGTGTGATCTTGTTACTGCCCGAGACATCTGATGAAGCAACTGACTAAAGCTAAAGAGTTTGTGTTAGTGCCAGGCTTGTCTCTCCTGTCTTCACTGTCCTGTACATTTTTGAAATTTGACTGCAATCTTGAAAGTGTACATTTCTATTTTGCTCCACATTTTTGTCTTGTATCATTATTCTGGGGGCCATGTCTCAACACCTAAGATCATATTTCTAGAGGATCTGCTTCAGTCCATGTTGTTTCCAAAATCATCATATACTATGGCCCTTTGCAAAATTTGGAAACACAATTGCAAACATCACTCTGTTTGGCTCTGTCTGTTGGAGATTCCCACAGACTCATTAGACCAAGAAAGGAGTGGTTATCTGACGGTAAGCAGGTAGGCCACGGATGGTGGTCAAAAACTTCCAGCCTTGTGATCCTATGCTTTTACCTTTGGCTTGCAGTGTTCTGTGTTGGGGAGCGAGACAGATGGCCTTTTCTGGATGGACATCCTTGTGGGAGCTCTCCAGAGCGTTCATCTGGCCAAATACTCATCTGGATTTTATCAACTTGGTGTGGTTAGGAAAATAAAAGTGATTTCCAGAACAAAGTACAAAGTCACAAACCAACTCCCTTTTTAAATAAAAATAGATTTTTTAAAAACTCAATGACTTCTTTTAGTCTCTCATTTCCCTCAGAAGTTAATTCGCTTGGTTATTTTATCTTCTTCCAACATTTTCTCCCCCAACATCTGGTATAACTGAATTAAAAGATTCTTTCCTGGTTTCTTTTTCTGAAGAAGGTGCACGTAGATGTCACGGGCCTAGGACAGACTGAAACAAGGCCAGAGCTGGTTATAGCATTGGCAGCGCTACATGAAAATTTTACCTACACATCCCTTGAATTTGGGCTTCAGTGATTGGCTGACTGAGTCAGTGGAGGAGATGACGGTATTTGGCAGAATTAACTATATTAACTACAGTCAGTCCAAAATGAATCAATACAAGCTTGCCAAAAGCCTTCCAAGAATTCAGCAATTGCTTGTGGACTATTAGCTGGTCCCTTCTTCAGAAAGTTTATCACCTATCCGGAGAAGCATGGTCAGTGGCAAACTTTGTCTCCTCTGCCAAGTCAGTTATCAGTTCTCTGTTCTTAAGAGAATTCATCAGGACTGGAGCTGTGGTGTAGCGGGTAAAGCAACCGCCTGCAGTGCTGGCATCCCATATGAATGCCAGTTTGAGTCCTGGCTGCTCCACTTGCCATCCAGCTCTCTGCTATGGCCTGGGAAAGCAGGAGAAGATGGTCCAAGTTTTTGGGCCCCCCATACCCGCATGGGAGGCCCGGATGAAGCTCCTGGCTTCAGGTCAGTGCAGCTCTGGCTGTTGCGGCCGTCTGGGGAGCGAATCAGCGGATTAAAGAACTTTCCTTCTTTCTCTGCCTCTTCCTCTCTGTAACTCTCCCTTCAAATAAACAAATCTTTAAAAACATAAACAAAAAAAGAGGGAGAGAGAGAATTCACCACCACTGAGTCTCTAGTTAGAACATGTCTCTTTGGCTTCCTGGGATTTGCTGTTCCCCCCCTCCCCCCAGCACATAAGCAACACTTGCAATTTTCCCACTTCTCCATTTAAAAAAATCTTGTCTATTATTTGAAATATTGGTCTATCTTCCCAACTTGGGGAGCAGGAGGACCCCTTTTGACTGCTGGGATGACTGTAACCACCACCAACTAGACTTTATCATGGTACCTGATACATATTAGTAGGCAAAGAGCAACTTTCTTTAAACCTGAAACTAAGAGAGAACAGGGAACAGTATGGAGGCCTCAAAAGCTGCCTGCAAATGAATGGTGGGAAAGTGCAGTATTTCAGGAAAGTTTACCAAATGCAGAGTCTGAGCTCAGGGCGGAGGATGGGATGCTGGAGACGGTTTGGCAGGAAGGAGCTGTAAATGACCCGCCTTGAGATGATGAGGCCACATGAGAGAATAGAAAGGAGCTCAGGAAGGTTTATTTGGTGGGGGGGGGAGTGGAATCAATCAAACTTGCTGATTATAAGTCATGATGGAGAAGAGCTGCTGGCTGGGCAGGATAAAGGCGAGAGAAGCAAGAGATGACTTCAGAGTTCTGAGCAGGAAGGACCATGAGCCGAGGATTCCCTGGCAGGAACAAGGAAGTAGGAAGGGGAACTGGCGATGTGGGGGAGAGGATGAGCTCAGTGGGAGACTTTTGGATTTGAGGCAATGGGAGGATTTTCAAGTGAAAATGGCCAGTGAGCAGTCAGAGATATGGGAATAAACCTTGAGCAAGGGACAGGACATGAGCCGTAAATGTGTGAGTCATGAGCACCATGTGCCTGCAGTCGTGAGCATGGGGTGGATCGCCCCGCACTGGGGCTTCCAATGCCAAGAGCAGAGCGCCCAGGACTGAACGGTGCAGGAAGAGGCGGCGTGAGGAAGGCATTAAGAGGCATGTGGGAAACTTCAGAACTGGAAAGGGAGCGAGAGAACTAGGAGCACAGAAAGCCAGAAATGCAAAAGAATGAGACATTTCCAGGAAGGAGGAGGAAAAGTGTAATGAGTGCTGCAGAAGGACTGTGAGAGGCAGATGACGAGAAAGGCTACTGGAGGTCACAGCACCAGTGGGTGACTTGGAGGAGCCAATCTGGGTAAAGAGATGGGACTGGGGGTTAAATTTCCAGGAGCTAAAGAGAGATGAAGGACAGAGGAACAGACACAAAGAGCAGACCGTACATTCAAAACCCTTGCTGGTGCCTAGAGAGGACAAAGCTGTGTATGTGTTGTTAAGAAAACATTTGATCACATTTGTTAAGAAATGTAGTTAATTCCTCCATTTCTTGTTGACAAGTCAAGGAGAAGTTCAAATGGATTTTTGTTATCCTTAAAGTGGAGCTTAATACTCCCTCCATCTTACACACACACACTCACGCGCACACACACACACACACACACACATGTTTCTTCAAGTCCACAGACCCCCTTCCTGAGCCAGTGAGTTGCATTTCCCAGAATTTGGGCTTCCCGATAAAATCAAACCGTGACTTCCCACAGATGGGCAGCTGGGACCTCACTGAGACCGGGGAGCACCAAGTGCCTGAGGGTGCTGGACACTGCCTGCCCCTCCCAGGAATCCCCTTACTTGGGCTTCCCGTCTCAGCCTTTGGCTCCAGTGCTCGTGTGTAAAAGAGACTTCAATGTTAATGTTTCTCCCCTAGCTAGCCTCACCATATTAGGGGGTCTGGGGGGCAGGGGATGACTAATTCCATCATTCTTGAGTGGTCAGTCCTGTTGTGATTTCAACACAGTCCTGGAGCAAACTGGGAATACCTAAAGAACTGCAAAGTGTGCCGAGAAACAAGGACAGTCTGAGCACGGCCCTGATGTCTCTCAGGACTGTCTGCCTTCCTAAACATCAGCCTGCTTCCCTTCCTTTGTCCTTATCTTGTTCCCAAAACATAAATACCACATGCCTTCCTCAGGTTAAGGAACACTTGGCATGTGAACTTGGGGTATGCATGCAGTGTGTAGGAATTTACTATCATTCCAAACTCAGGGCCCACAACTTTACAAGACACTCTAACAGCTGGCGTTTCAGTACAGAAGGTAAACTTCCAGAAGTTTAGTTTAGAAAAGAAAAACAATTTTCCCCAAACATGAGAATAGTAAACATAGACACCTTTGATCATTTACCCATAATTTTAATTTCAGAAAGTAAAACTATTAAATTATCACACATACACAGGAAAATGTACAGATTCTAGGTCCGAGGCTTAGTTTGCACAAAATGAACATCCCCAAAAAGGCAGTCCTCAGATCAAGGGATACATCATGACCAGCCCCTTTCGAAGCCCCTCTCATGGCCTTCCCAATCCCTACTCCCCTAAAGGGAAATCATTACTCCGACTTCCATAGCCACATCAGTTTTGCCTGGTCTTGAGTTTTGGTAGAAATAGGATTTTAATTTATACATTCTTTCGCATCTGGCTTATTTCACTCAACATTCTGTGAGCTTCAGATGCATCTATGTTGCAGTAGATTGTCATAGTTTGTTCACTGTATAAATATACCACAATTTATTTACCCATTCCTCTGTTGATGGATATTTGAGTTGCTTCCAGTTTGGGGCTATTGCAAATAGTGTTGCCGGGAACATTCTTGTACGTGCCTGGTGCACATGTGCGTTCATTTTCCTTGGGGAAAATGTGGACAGGGAATTGCTGGGCCCTCGGGCAGGATTTTGCCCTCTGCTGGGTTTCCACAGAGCCACAAGAGTATCGGGAACAACAGCAAGATCCCTCTTAGCCCTTAGTGAGCTTTGCCAATATGGAGAACCTCCAATTTTAAAAATTTCTGATCATACAAATGATCTTTTCTAATATCTTACACTTGCTTTCCATCTATAATGAATGGGGATTTTATTGAGTCTTCAGTTTAAAAGTCATGTAGTTTGGAGTCAGTGTTGTGGATTAAGATGCCTCCTGTGATGCCAGTATCCCATGGGGTGTCCCTTCAAGTCCCTGCTGCTCAACACTTCTGATAGAGCTCCCTGCTCGTGTGCCTGAGAAAGCAGTGGAAGATGCCCCAAGTGCTTGGGAATCTGCAACTCACGTGGGAGCTGGGATGGAGTTCCAAGCTCCTGGCTTCTGTCTGGCCCAGCCCCAGCCATTGTAGCCATTTGGTGAGTGACTCAGTGAATGGAAGATCTCTAAGTCTGTCTTTCCAATAAAGAATTAAATCATTTATAAAGGAACATATAGCTCATAAAGATAGACTGAAGTGCTGGCTACAGTCCCTCAGTTCTACTTTCAGGTGTCTTTGAAAATATAAAAAAGTGGCCGGTGCCACAGCTCAATAGGCTAATCCTCCACCTGCGGTGCCGGCGTACCGGGTTCTAGTCCCGGTCGGGGTGCAGGATTCTGTCCCGGTCGCTCCTCTTCCTGTCCAGCTCTCTGCTGTGGCCCGGGAGGGCAGTAGAGGATGGCCCAAGTGCTTGGGCCCTGCACCCCATGGGAGACCAGGAGAAAGCACCTGGCTCCTGCCTTCGGATCAGCGCGGTGGGGTGAACCAACAGAAAAGGAAGACCTCTCTCTCTGTCTCTCTCTCACTGTCCACTCTGCCTGT